TGTAAGAGAGCCATTTGCCACTTTACTCTCTCTGCCTTAGATCTAAGACACCTAGGAATCTCTGAAGACAAACTCTACAGAGATGCATTCAGTAGAGGCCTCTTGTCCCATTGAACACACTGGGTGACAGAAAAGTTGACAACAGCAAATCAAAACTTTCTACTCCTACGCTACCAGAATATTAGGCAATCCATTTTAACGTTACTGCTACTGCAAGTGTTTCAATACCAAGGCTAATAACTCCAAGGCAGCCCAGCTGACTAAGCGAATCAATACTGCAGTAAATAGTAAAAAACCATTAATGAGCAGAAAATTGTACTTCCCTCTCCTCCAAGGACTACTCTACAGCAAAGCAGCTTTTTGTGGCACACCCGTTGTCAGCATTCTGTTAGTTAGCAACAGTGAACATACAACTGAATCTTAAACTTTTGTTTACCAAAAAACCTGATAAAATAGCAAAACATGCATTGTGATGCATCATATAAATTCAGGCTCTGCCCCCAAACACTGTTTTGTTCACATCCATTCAAACTGAACTTTTAAACTGACTAGAATCTACACCATTCAGCCCGTATCACCACAAAACCACTAGTATCTAAACGCATCATATGTGCTTAACCTCACAATTCAATGATCTCAGATCTGACTGTATATTTTTATATCCACGCAGGAAAGAGAAGAATACTTTCTTGGTAGCTAGTTATGTGAGAAAGAAGATAACTTCATAAATTATGCCTTTTGTTTAAGATACAAGGCATGTGCTTATAAAAGTAAATCTTTCTGGTATTTCTCAAAGGCTGTAAGTTTAATATTTAAGCCTGTCTGTAAATACAGGGAGCACACTAAACCAATGTTTAACTTCTTCTTTTTCTTCCTCTTTACTGAATTAAAGACACAACTGATACAGCAAGCAAACTGTTTAATACTACTACTAATACTACTACTACTACTAATAATTTTACATCACTTGCATGGGAGGACATGCTGGAGGACTGCTGAACAACCCTGAAAAAAGTGATACAGCCATAGTCTCCAAAGTTCCAAGAAAAGTACTGCCTTTTGCACTATGGTCTATATTGTCAGATGACTAACAAAAAGTATGTTAGAACAAAGTAATAAGCTGTGGTCATAATGCAGCAGTTTACTACTCCACCTATCATAGTTCCAGTTTCAGGAAACAGTGCTTGTGAGAAAAACTGGTAAACAAGCCACAGAAGTAACGAGGTCTTGCTTTTGTTTTAAGGGGACACATTAAGCAGCACAGCCAGGACTTTCCAGCATACAGCACAGCTCACTGTATCTGCTCCCACACATAAATCCTAATTAAAAGACAGTGAGGGAAGGGTGAATCAATTATATCATCCCATTTAAAAATATCTTGGTCCCACTGCTCTGCTGTGTTACCAGATCCTCCATGACTTTACCTCCTTTCTCTGAAGCCCCTCTCCAACTCACCCTAGCCTATTTTTAACATGCATTTTCATGGAATGTTATTCCCTAAATTTAAAAAAAGCCAACTATCAGCACTGAATTCAGTAGCAGTACCCAGTGAATACAGGGAACTGAAAGGCTAAACATTCCTTTGAGATTATTTATGTAACAGACTTCCCCATTTACAAGAGAATTTAAGCAATAATTAACTTTTGGCATTTTCACCCTCTCTGAACTACAGAACTCTCCCTTCAGTGGTAAGGTTCCCAGTATGGTCTGCTGGTCACCAGTATCTTCCTTGCAGCAGGAAATACATGATCACCAATCAGTACAGCCAGCCATCAGACTCTGAATCTTGTGAAGTCAACATCGTGAAGACAGACAGTTAGGAGAGCCAAAATTTGTTAAAATTTTGCAAAGAAAACAATCATTCATTGATTTCAATCTCTCTACCTTTATAAACTCAAAATTGTAACATACCCTTTGATAGAATGAGGCATACAAATTCCTTCCAAAAGGCACACGGCAGTAACAGTTCAGAACGTGCCTGACTTATTTCACTGGCACAAGTTGTCCTTTTATCCAAAGGCTGGGAGCAGCACAGGGGGACACCACAAGCACTGTCTGATCTTCAGGTCCAAAATGATTCTGTCTCCATGTCATCCCATGCCTCAGCGTCTCTCTCCCTGCATCAGTACTTCTGTGTCTCAACCTGAATCAAGACTCCAGTTGCAGTTTGAAAGAGGAAGCACGCCGTGATCAGCACTGTGTGAAAAGTATTTGTGGACACCACCAAGCCTAAGTTGGCTCTTTCCAGACAGAGGTTTCTCCCATCATGCAGCAGTTTCAAGGACCAGCCCTCCTGCCACTGTTCTTCCTCTTCGTCTTCACTGTTTCACTTCTGTTTTCTTCCTCTCTCACCCTTCTCCAAAATGTTCCTGTCCTTTTGCTGACTTACAAAAGGTCTCTCCAATTTCCCTCAGCTCCCCTGCACCCTGGTTTTGTCCCTCGGGCTTCCTTTAGAACTGTCTCAGTGACCCAACCTATTCCTTGTACAGCAGCCTGCCAAAAATTCACGTCTCTCAGAAAGGCCAGTCTTGGGGAAGTGAAAATGCTGAGGCTACTGACTACACAGCAACTGTAGTGACTGTGGCCTCTACTGGCACAAAGCAGGTCCTGCACAAAAACTGGCAGGAGGGACGGAATACCAGAGAGTTGTGGATGTTACAAATCCCACTTTATGATCATGCTCTTCCCAAGACACCAACTTCCCCAACAGAAAAACTCTTTTTATGCTGGTTCCACTTAAATATGTCTAAACAAGTGTTGCACAAGCCACAACCCTTCTTTAATTCTGTAGGTGGAGTGCATGCACAGGTGCATATGCTTCTGTATGCCATCAGTAAGCCTCAACAGAAACCAACCACATTTTTTTTGTTTGCTTGTTTTAAGGTGATTTCTTTCTGGTACAGCTCTGTATTACTAGAGTTACACTAAAGGTGTACAGTGTGGACAGCAAGGAGCAATGAATATCTAAGTTGTATGAAACCCACCCACATTCCTTCAAGACTTTCAAACCGCTGTCTTGCGATACATCGCAGGAGATGACGCAGACACGTCCAAAAACCTTGTTAAATGGCAGCTGCAGTTATAGTGCTAAGCCTACCCTGCCTTTGGGCTTGTGCTGACAGAGTACCACTACATGCACCGAAGTATTACAGTGTGCCATACAGTCATATAAATACAACCCTCAACATACACATTGAAAATACTCACACTAAATAGTAGAAATCATGGTAGTGTAAACTGTGTTTGAACAAGCCTTATTATGAGTGAGGGAGACTGTACTAGCCTTTATACTTCACAAGTGTGGATCCTTCTTCCCAGGGAACTCAAGGCAGAAGCCATCTTAGACTCTTCTGACTGCCTTTATTTATCTATGATTTAACTGGAGATTACCCAGGCAGATTGCTCTACAGAGAAAGCAATATAACCAAACTTAAAAATGAAAACAAGATCCTGCAAAACAAAACTGTTCTCAGTGTTTGCTCTGTGCTGATAAAAATTCAATTGTTACCTAAATATACAAGAGTGCACCAAGTCTGAACAGTAATTGTGAGCCAGAAACTTCATGATTCTATTACAATATGTTATATATTCTACTAACAGACAAAACATTTTCTCTGTGGCACAAATGTGACTTCAAGTGTATCAGCCATACTAACTCAGAAGACTCAAAATGCAATGGATCACACAACTATCAGTTCATCATCATAAACAGTGACCATTATGTTTTCGCAAACTGACTGCATTTCAATGCTCTGTATGATGCAAAACTCCCCTCCTAAAAATCCTGGATAGTGCAAGCTAAAAATTGCGTCCAACAGCACTAGACAGTACTCTTTCAAATCTTCACCCTAACGTACGCCTAGTAATCATATGTAACAATCATTTTTTTGCTGAAATAAATTGAGTTTCACTTCAGCTTAAACCCTGAGGCAGTTAAAACCCCACTGATTCATGCCGCTCAACAAGGTGCAGGGGCCAGTCAGAAACACAGATAAGCCTTACCCCAGTACATAATTTTTAGTTCACCAAGCTCTTAAAAAGAAGTATGAATTTAATGCAGTAACAAACAGGAAGAACACAGACATACTTAGTAAATGCTCATAACAAAACAACATGACATCATTTCAGTTAACTCACAAAATGCTCTGTTAGAAGCTTGATCAATAAAGGAGCCTTGTTTCTCATATGGCTGCATTTTAGGTCTTAAAATAAGAAATGGTAATAAAAAACTTTAATGCTTAACAAAGTTAATCAATCTGATAAACCTATACAGATACACTGCTGAATGCCATATTTCGTAGTGTGCAAATCATCTACCCTAACTTTTCTTCCCAGAAGTGATGGGGAAATGACAGTTCACAAACTACACAGCATTTTGGCTTTACTCGGTTTTGGAAAGATCTCATTGTACCTGAGGTTTATGTTAGCCATTAGACGGTATCAGTGTGCCTTGTGGAACAAATCATTGATTTCAATACTTACCTGGTTCTCCATGAAGTTAAACATAATTTAAATTAAATTACAGATGGAAGAAATCCTTTTCCACTTACTACTTAAGCTTTCTGCTCTTCACTCCCACCTTTGTCTTTCTCTACGAACATAGCTAGTGGATTTAGAGGCAGAATGTAAAATTGTTAGCCTGCAAAATAAAACATGATAAGCCTAAACCAGTCCATTAACAATCCTGGTTTAGATATGGAAGGCTACATACAACCCTTATGCTGTCAGAAACATACTTTTGTATCTGCAGTCTGTGCAGATGCGAAAACATTTAACATGATAGAAGCATGCTTCTTCCAACCCTGACTCTGGTATATAGATGATGTAAGTAGCTGGCACATGGATTGTTTTAATTGTGTCTCCTAGAGTTTCACAGTTTGTTATGAGGCCTTGCCTTGAAGGCAGTTACCTCAGGATTCTGGGTAACTGCCTTAAAATAGGTAGTGTGGTAAATTGCATTTAAATGAGATGTGCTGATAAAAGGATGTATTTTAAAAGCCTCAATGTTGCTGTGAAGGAGGAGGGTCTCTAGGTATCGGGAATATAAATTTTCTTCTTAAGGTATATGCCGGTTGGGGCATCTGCTTCTTTGTCCCCAAGCGGTCAACACGTCTGCCCACATCTTCATTAACTTCTGTAAGAATCGACAAAATATCTTCACCCCTGCAATCAGAAGGAGAGCAAAAATAATAAAAAAGACTTATTCATGAGCAGATGGCACTACATTTAATACATCTCAGATCATCTAAAAAATATAGTATAAACATTCAAAACACAAAAAACACATCCTTTTCTCCAAATTCCTCCTCTTTTGTTCTCATTTGAGTAATATCAAAAAAGAAAGACTTTTCTTACTCTGCCTTGCTTGATTCACCCAGTCAAGAAAAATAATGGAGTAAACTATTTTTACCTAAATTCACTCAGGAAACAGATGGCTCTGCCTCAAAGAATACAGATGGGAGGTGTTGAGGTTTTTTTACAATAAACTTCACATTCTCCAGATTATGGTACTAGCAGTGTTAATGTAAATTTATCAGTGGCAACCAAACAAATCATCAGTTTAACTAATTTTGTCCACCTCAGAACATGGATTAGTGTTCCTATGTGAATTTGCCTTTGCAGAAAAAAAAAAAAAGGTGGAAGTTCCTCCCACTTTTTTCATGGAACAGCCAAGCAAAATATTTACCTTGGTACCAACAACTGTAGCTTGCTGCACAGGGCCTGAATATACCAAGCACCCTGTTGAATATGCCGGAAGGAGACATATCCGTCAATTGTGGCCATGCCTAGGAGGAAATCAGCCTCTTCAGGAATACTTTCAGAAGGAGAAATGCTCTGTTGCATGGAAGAAAAGTGAGGAACTTGTGCATCAGCTTCAACATAGACAGGACACTGTATCTCTTTACCCTGGCATGCTTGGATAAAAAAGAGTTTGGGTTTTTCAGCCAGCTGTGGACATTGTCTGGCAGTGAAGTGGGACATGATCATGCGGATTGATACAAGTTCCTCATCTTTACCATAGATTGCTCCTGACTCTCCATGAGATAGAATACAACATATAAAACAGTCCCTGTCTTTGTGATCTTGCAAGTGCTGCCAAGTTTGCATGAGATCTTTAATCTGCCGAGACGTCAGATCTGTGTAAGTCCTCACATCCAGACCAAGCCATGTGAATACTCGCTCCAGTTCCTCTGTAATTAAAATAAAGATACAAATAAAACTTGAGGCAGTAAAAAACCATTTCATGAAGTCACCATGCAAGCTAATCTGATGCAGGAAAAACCTTACACCCTGACAATTCTACAGATTCATCCTTATACTAGTATCAACTAAAGGTTAACTGGAGTGAAAAAAGGTGGCATCAGCGCAAACACAGAGTTCTCAGATTTTTCAAGACAAGTTTCAGAAAATACAACAACATTTTACAATGTATAATGACATACTAAGTGAGCTCACAAATGATACCTCAAAATATGAGGAATCCCCTACAGGTTTCAGATCAGATCTTACAAAATCTTCCTCATGTCATTATTTTCCAATTGCAGTTTTGATTGCACATACACAAGAGATAAACAGAAATATGCACAGAGTTGCTTGCTTATGGAATTTTCCATTATATTATGTAGGATGATGGTTTGGTTTAATTTTAGTTCTTTATTATAGCTCTAGCTAACGGCTTAGTAGAAAGGAATTATTAAAATGATTCAAGAATGATCCAACTGCGTCAGAAACTCAGTGGCTACTCATCCTTTAACGCTTCCTCCCCTAGGATACACAAAATACCTAATTTAACACATATTAAACATTTTACTCTTTACAGATATGAACTAACTAAAATATAGATAATAAAATATAGAGCAATACTAGGCAATCAACTCGCATGGGAAAACAGAGAGACTAATCCTCCAAAAATCTCACTTCAGTAACTTACCGGCATCTTTGCAAGAACCCTTCCTCTCCTGAAGAGACCCATCAAAGTTCACATTATTAATAACAAGACAAAACCCTCTGTGTTGTCCATCCATTCTGTAGCTTGTCATCTTCTGTAGAAACAAGAGGAAAAAAGCTTATAGCTTCAATTAATTTATTCAACTTACTTTTATTTCCTTAGTATGTGTCAAAATTGGCATCCAAAAATTAGAGGCACCTAAGACTGCACGTTACTTTTGAAAAGCTTGAATTCAGTGGTGCCTCCTTGTGTGGAAAGGCATGGGTGAAGCCTCAAGCACACTCTGTCACCACACTATCAAACTGTAGAGGAAAGGTTTATCAGCTGGGTTGGTCATCTGTATGCAAAAGGGAGGTTTCAGCAGCCAAACTCTGCAATCTGATTTCGTGATGGGGATAGAAGACCCCAACTGTTTCCAACATCACAACAATATTTTAACTTCAGATGGCAAAAAGTTTGCAGTGGAACTCTAGGATGTTAGGCATCCAAGTTGGGTTTTTGAGGGCAGTGATGAATACCTGGAGCAGGTGGTTCATACTGATCCACTAGGAAGAGATGCAAGCAGAACAGAGATCTCAGAAGTGCATAAACCTGCCACAGCACTAGTTTTGCTAAGACTTAAAAGTTGCCTCCCACTCTTCAGAAAAAACGTTTTAAAAACTGAAAAGTCACCAAAACTTCAAGTACCATCTCTTCAAGATCAACTTCAGGTTGAAATAAAAAACTCCCACCACTCCAGTTCTTTCCTTTCTGCTCACTAGAGAAAGCAATAAACTTCTGCTTTTGTGCATTTTAGTAGAACAAAACAAAGGCAGCACTCCAAGCTCCTTCAACAGCAGCAAGAATTACTTTTACTACAGCAGTCTGAACAGTAGGTGATGAAAAGGTTATAGCACGGAAGCACAAGAAATTAAATAGCTACAAACAAATGCAGCAGCTTGCTCCCTCAATATCCATGCTCATCAGAAGGAAGAAGCCTGAGGGAGAATTCAGTGGTTACACTGCTGTACAAGGTTAGAGTGCACATAAGGTTTCTAACAATGGATCTCACAAAAGGGATCTTTTCTTCTGTACCAAGACCTCTGGTTTATTGAGTAAGATTGTCACATGCCTGCAACAGCTTACTAAAAACTCTGGCCCTCTTTTATCCTTCTCACAAGGTCTTTGCATGCTATCCCTTATCGTTTTCAATTTCAAGATGCCCTGAAGCTTCTTCCAAGACAGATCCAGAAAAGAGAACTGTGAAGCTATGTTTGTCTCCACGTCTTGCACATTCTGCTGCCTTCTCCAAAACACACAACTTAAAAAAATGCCAAATGCTTTGTCTGTATCAGGAAGATAAGCAGATGCACTGATGTGTGGACAGCATCAAAGGTATTATGCCTGTTTCGCCTCCACCACACCTTTCAATATTGGTAAGTCTCTGGCCTCTAAGGTTAAAATATTCTCTGAAATGTTCCAGCTGATCAGGTAACTCCAAAAACTTCATGAGACACAAAGACATCTCACATGTCCTCGCATGATAAATGTCATTACAGGGATTAAGACCTCACACACCCAGGTATTCAAAAAGAAGGATTTAAAAGACTGTCTCAAACCTTGGATTCATTTTCTAAATTGCTGAATTGTCCAGGCAGCTCCAGGTTAATTTCAGAGAAGCCTTGTGTAAGATTAGCTGCTTTGTTATCTAGGAAAAAAAATCAGCAGAGATATTTGTGAAGAGAAATCCAATATTGGTGGATGTAGCAAGAGTTTAGCTACAATACAGCACTTTTTGTATTTGAAATACTGTTTCATTGAAGGGAATAATTCCTATGTATGAGATAGCATCATCATGTTCAAAGCATCTATTCTGAACATGTCTCCAGTTATTTTTGTTATATATATTTTTGCAACAAAGGCAAGGTTTCTAGTTGTATTGGTAATGTGGAACAAAGATATCCATGGTCCAAGGACAGAATCTACCTGAGACATTCAAATGAACTTTCATTTGGAAATCAGCTTAGAAATAAACTGTATTGCAAGAAGGATCTACAACGTTACTATTGAAACTCCCATTACAGATTTTTTTGTTTGTTTGTTCCTGAATTACTGATAATAACTCTCAGATCAACTTTCAGAGCAAGGCTATACTGACAGAGCTTGAAAGTGGGAAAAAGCTGACAGATGTTGCATTGCTATACTTTGTAACTAGTCAATTTGACATGGAGACACAAATATGGATGCAAAGTACCCACTGTTATTTGTACAGAATCTTTTTCAGAGTTCTGATCCAAAATATAACTATTTATTGCTAGTTTATTTAATTCTGCTTCTGAATGCCCCAAAATGCTTGTCTCCTTTTGTACAAATCATACCCTATTTAATGCATTCAAAACATGCATCTCTACTATGCAACACTCCCAAGGCTCTCCAACATAACAATCTATACTGCAAAAGAAGTCAGAGGTAAAATCCTGCACCCCCAAAAATTAACATATTGGTTTTATAAACAGTCATAGTGACCCATTCTCTTGTCCTCCCAGTGACATTTAAACAGAAAACTTATTTTTCATTTCCAGGAAATAAGTCATCTTTTTACTTCTAATCAGACCAGGCCTTATTTCACTTCCCAGAAAGCACATTAGTTAGTTTCTAGTAAATGACTGACAAAGTACACAGGATTTGCCTATTTTCTCTTGCCTTTTTTATATAAGAACAGAAATCCTTCAAATCTATTTGTGCAGAAAGCAAAAGACCCTTCCAAGAAGACAGCAAGGTCAGCGTGTTGAATTAAACCAGATACTACAAATTTCCCACAGAAAGTAAAGGAATGCAACATTAAACATAAAGGTAATAAAAAGCAAACATATTTTTATAAATTCTTACCGTTGATATTAGAACTGACAGATTTGATTGAGGTCTCCTATTTTTTGAATGGGGGGAATACCATGTTAAAAATAATTATTATTTATAATAAGTTTTCATAGTGATTTTAGCAAAATAGGGTTAATACAAAGCTCTAAGTAGTGAGTAGGAAAAATACTGAATTCCTAAGAGCAGTAAAGCACTTAATAATGACATTACAAAAGACTTCCCGACTTATGGCAAATCTCACAGAGCTGGGAGGGAAACAGCAAAGAATTTTCTTTCACCTCCAAATGATCCTCTCCTATAGGGGATCCTACTTCCTATAGGGGTAGGCAGTCACTATAAACAAAATCAAGGTCCCAACATAGTCCCATATCAGTTCTCTTGGACAGTCAATTATTTGAACAGACATCATTATAACTAGTGATTCTAGTCCTGCCTAAGGGCCATCTTCTAGCAGTAAGTGTCAATGGTTCATTATACAGCATGGAAAAAGTGTACAACCTCTCATCATTTAAAAAAAAAAAAATCAAACATGAGAATCGGGATTATGGAAACAGCCTTTTTTAAAAATTCTTTTAAATCTATGTTTTCTTAATAAAACTACATTCATTTTCTTACTGTGCCAAGTACCATGCATGAAGTCTTCCCCAAACCCTCTACACATGTAGAGCAAATACAGCTCAAAGCAGCAGTAACGCAAATCTTTCTGATACCAAATAGCTAATTTTCCTCAGCTCTTGTCTACTAGAACTTCACTTCTGAGAAGCATCCTTAGAAAGATCACTGGTTTTCCTCATTCAGAACTGGGTTAAAATTCGCTCCTTTCCTCTCCTCTTCCCCCCCCCAAAAAAAGAGATCAGTTATAGCCTGATAAGTTTCCCAATCATCTGATTCATTATGCAACTACAGGAGGGGTTTAACTGATCAAGGACTGGTACATTGAGAAAATGGGAACACTTCCTTTAGCAGCAGCTAAAGTGAACTGATCATCGAAGTATGATATTAGCCTTTGGAGATAGTTTAGTGTTCATCAGCTGAAATTGACTGACCCATTCTCTAGAAGGCACCTGTCTAGCTTTTTCTCTCATTTATCTTCCTAACATTATTTTTTTCCCCAATTGCACAACCAATAGTAGTATTTTTTACTTCCACTATTTGATACTATATGCAGCTGTATTTCTTACATGCTGAACAAATATGCTTGTTCCCTTCCTAAACCAAGTAAGAAGATTTAGCAAAAAATCTCACAGCCAGTACAGTTTCAAAATAAAGGCAAGAAAATAATCCCAGCCCCTCAAACCACTAAAACCCAAGCTGGCATTATGTACTCCAGCGTACCTGTGGGGAAGTGACTACTCTGATGTCTCTAGTGCGAGACAATGAAGATTCCTTGACTGGCAGAGTATTCTCCTGTTGAGGCAAAGACACTAAGAGCAGAAAAACACAAAATGAGAGAAGCCATGTGCCTTTTAGTTGAACCACTATGAATCTGTACATTAGGCAAATACAGATCTATACTTACTGAAAGATGTATTAAAATAGAAAGCTTTGAAACACACTCAGAAAGCACGGGGGAACGGAACTCATGAAACACTAAGTGCCCTTGCACCTATCGGGGAGATGTAGCTTTGTACTTCCCAGAATTTGTTTCCCAGTGCTTAAATGGAAATAAAACTTTTTCCCCAGTATGCTTACAGTCACTCCACATGACATTAAATGAAGAAAAATGACAAACTGCAGTATAACCTCTGATAATGTGAATCAACCATTTAATAATAAAGCCTACTACGTACCGGACACACATACACACACAGTTTACCTCACCAGCTTATTAGCAGGCAACTGCCTTGTTGTAGTGTACATTCATAAATCACAAAGTGCCTTTTACAGGACAGTCATCATCATCTCAATACTGTTCATGGGGAAATGGAGAAGTGCAACACAACTATAAACAGATTTTCAGTTTCCCAGCCTGTTCTGTATGTGCTGGACTACTCTGTGTGGCTTCAGATATTCCAGCACTTCCCTACTGAAATTCAGCTAAGAAGTAATGCCAGCTAGGGACTGTTACGCCAAATTTGTGTGTGAAGATGAGCGATCCCACTCTAGCTCCTGTTCCAGAAATGCACACATAAGACCTTGAGGTTCAGTTGCCCACACCCTTCTAGTTCTTCCTGCATTTTAGCAAACCTACTCCCTGATTCTGAATTTCTTACCTTTTGCCCTTTTGTAGCAGTTTACTGTTTCCAGGAGATCAGGTGAAACATTTATACAGACTTCCTCCAGCATTTGTACATTGTTTTCAGTCAAAAGACCCTGTTTTTCCAATAAAATCAGCAATTCCAGAGCAGACTGACAGCCAAAAGGAGAGAGTAAAATACAGTTATTGTTCATTAGAACTCAAAACCTGCCTCATCCCTGTCTGCCTCAAACAACTGTATTTTTATCTGCTTTGTTTCCTATCAACAAGGACCAAACAGTCAAATTTCTATCACTGTGGGAGATGGAAATGTTGCTCCATGGAAAGCTACTGGTTGCATTATTATTTGGTATGGTCTTGTTTAAACAAATTCAACGAAACCATATTAATGTCTCTTGGCTTTGAGAAGGCTTTATGGCTCTGAAATGGTACCAATGACATAAGGACATGAATCTCCTTTGCATATGGCTCAAGCAGGGTGAAGATTTGATTTGTCATCCTTTTATGATCTAATGCAAGACTGTGTCTGTCAGTGACTGACCTTGGCACAAAGCATCAAATTCCACACTTACCTGTCAACAGCTTCCTCCTTGCTAACCCTATAAATACTGACTAACCTAGTTGCAGATTATGCCCTGTTCTGCCAAATACTTTTCTCTTCATGCTTTTCTTCCTGTTCCCACGCCCCTCCTTCTTCCCTTCCCACCATATACACGTTTGGCTCTCTCCTCACATACAAGAGTTATCCGTCGCTTTGGAAGATAGTTTTGTAGGAGGAATATGATATCCTTCAGCACCTCATTGGTAATGTTCTCTGCCACTTCATACAGCATCTGCCTGTAACAGAGACCCAGTGAGATAAAAGCAGAACAGAAGACACTGTAGAAACCAAAAGCAATCTGAGAATTTAAAAATGGAAATGGAAACAGTATATATGGCATAGATGGCAGTAATGGAGAGAACAGAATCCCACTGCAAGCTTACCTGTATGGAGACACTCTTCCCTTCTCATGCAGACATTCTTGCACTTTCTCCTTGGTATAACCAAGTTTCTTGAGCAAGGAGTGACATCTAATTCTGTATAAGAGTTCAGCTAGTAGGAAATTATCCTGCTCATTCAGATATTCTTCAGCCATGAGAAGCTGGAAGATGTCCACTGCTGACTTCACACTTTCTAGTTTTTTGAAGGGGAGCAAGTCAGTACAGAGAAATTTTAAAGCTGCTACATCTTCAGCCACCAGATTTTCATCAATGAGCAGAAGTTGCTGATGGAATTTCAAGCTGACATCATCCTCCATGTTGCTGGAACCAACAGTCTCTCTGCCTGAAAGTAGAAAGCAAATGCTAGTAACACTTGAATATTCAATACAACGCTCCTTGTAATAAGATTTCATCCAATAGCTGTTTGGAAGTCCTGAATTCTCTGCAGAAGAGGAATTTCCTTTTAAATACATTTGAAACTAACTTCCTTCTCCAAACACAAGGCTACAACAAAGACCAGATGTGGCAGAAGTTCTGAACAACGCAGTCTAAATTTGAAGTTAGCCCTGCTCTGAGCAGAAAACTGGGCTAGATGACCTCAAGAGATCCCTAAGTTCTTCTATTTTTCAAACGTCTTCCACACTGAGCAACCTGGTCTAAGTGGAAAGTGTCCATGCCCATGGCAGGGGGGTTGGAACTAGACTATCTTTAAGGTTCCTTCCAACCCAAAGCATTCTATGATCTTTGCTTCTCTCCATTGTACGTAGGTGGGAAGAGTCCCTGCACTAACTTATTACAACTCTCAGTGGAGAGAGCACAGTGGTTAACACACATTCCTTCATCTGCAGTCCGAGGTGCTCATTCTTCTCTGGCTGTACCAGGGAGGTGTTCCTCTGCTACAAGCCTGACACCCAAGCTGAAGCTGTGGAATATCCATCCATGCCTAGTCATATCTTGCTACCAGACTGTGTTTCACATTTGGCATAGGAAAACCCTAAAGCCTCCCTTATAAATAGATGTCAACTAAAATGTAATAGAGCTCAGTCTAAATACGCTCTACACAAGCAATTCAATCTTACTGAAGTTTAACAGACACTGATCACCCTTCTGCTGCACCAACTTCTTCCATGTAGCCATGCATTATCCACCCCTTATTCCATACCATCTATGTCATGCACAGGTCCCCCATTGTCCAGTTGATCACCACCACTTCTCCTGTCTCCAGATATCATTCCCTTAGTCTATGGATCATCACTCTAAAGTGTCCCTTGAGTTCATTCAATCCATGACTTCAGGCTCCATCTGTCGTAATGGTCTTCCATGGCAGGAGAGCTGATGTGTGGTGATGGGTGGTCACTTGCTGCATACGGAGCTCACGGCTGATGTATCTGGTGCGGCCCGTGCCCACAGTCTGCAGGTTGGAGGTGTCGATCTCGATGAAGTTGCTGGGTGCCAGTTGTTGAAAACCAGGTCCAGTTCCATCATCGCTGTGCTCCGCTAGGTTTTCATCAAAAAGTCCATCCTTCTTTAATCTGGACGATTCTTACTATGCTACTACTGGTACAAAATATAACAATTATAACAGTGATAACAGACAGTGACAGGGTTATTTAACAACTAACTTTATACAATTTATTTATGGACTATTCTCGCCCAAAATTAAATCC